ATATTTAGCATTATATATTTTAGCATAAATTTGGGGGGGTTCTTTTTGAGACAGGGTCTCCCTGTCTCACTATGTAGACCAGGCTGGTTTGAACTCACAGAGATCTGCCTGCCTCTGCCTCCCAAGTGCTGGGATTAAAGGTGTGTTCCATCACGCCTGGCTAACATAAATTATTTTAAGTGATTTAGAGATTAGTTGCCCTTACAATAAGTTGCCTTCTAGTAAGATAAAAATATTTATAAATTTTCTGTTATCTCTTTATTATTTTGGTGTAGCAAAAACAAAATCTAAAATATATCACAAAACCAGGAATTCTGGTTTTGGTTTCTGTCCTAGAATTTTAGGATAGCCACCACAAAGCCAGACACCTGACCAGTACTGACATTTGATTTCCATGTGTCCACACTGTCATAGATCAGTGAGTGACCATGGTTCTAGAGTGGTAGCTGGTGAAATTTCATTAAAATTTTCATTTTTGAACTTTACAAGCATGGTTCATTCATTTTAAAAAATATGCATTGTGATTTCAAATTTGGTTTTGCTTTGTTTTCAAATTCTTACTCTGGCACTGCCTTCTGCCTTTTTCCCAAGTTGCCACATCTGAATGAACCAAACTATTCTTGTTAAAGCAGAACCTTAGGGAATAAATCTCCAATGACCAACACTAAGGAAACCATATATTCTTCACCATTACCTCTTTCAAACTTGGGCTGTGGAAATTTTGTGTGGACGTTACTCACCACAGAGTTGGAGAGGAACTCAAGAGTCGGCGAGAAAGGGAAGGAGGCACACCAGGCATTTAGGTGAGGCCTACATTATACAGGACATAAAATGCTTCTTAAAGACCCTGTGATCAATCCCAATAAGTTAATTTAAATTATAATGAGGCAGATGGAATTTCAAAATCAATCATAATTTGTGGTGGAACTCCAACTGATTTATGAACATGGCAGACTTCAATCAAAATAGCATTGGATAATACTACATGCTAAAAATAATGCCATCAATAATGGTAGCACTGAGACTGTGCTTACTACATGCCAGGACATCTCTAAAACACTGTCACCTATGAAATGCTTTCATCATCACAATGAAGCATCACGTTTACTACCCACATCTGACAGGTCAAGCAATTAAAAAATGGCAAGAATAAGACATTAGTTCAAGAGAACCCAGGATTTCTGGCACCAAAGTCCCTTATCAACTACTACGCTGAACTGTTTCTCTGTGGCATACCTCTACAGCTTTGAGTAGCAGGGCTCCTAGAAATAAAATAATGCTGAACTCTTTCAGGTTGAGAATCACTGATACGAATTCATAACATGAGTGTCTCATAGCTACAAGTGTTTGGTTCTTGTTTTTAAAACCAAAACGCAAAATGAAGATTTACTTTTTAAAAATATTTTATTTATTATTTTTATTTTATGTGTATCTGTGTACTGCCTACATGTAGGTAAGTGCACCCATGTCGTGCAATGTGCACGGAGGACAGAAGAAGCTGTCAGATCCCCTAGAACTGGAGTTACAGACAGTTGTTAGCTGCCATGTGGGTGCTGGGATTCAAATCCAGGTCTTCTGCAAGAACAACCAGTGTTTTTAACCACTGAGCCATCTCTCTAGCTGCTGAAGACTTACTTTTAAAAATAGAAATACAATTAAGAGAACTCGGAGATATGATAGGGAATGGAGTTGTTGATGACACTAGAAAACCAGCTCTGACATCATCTCACTGAGAAAATAAATGAGCAAAGAGCTATTGATCATACACATTTTTATTTGCCATAGAGGAGTTCATTAAAAGAGGAAATCAATGTTCATTTTTTCATTTATACTGAATAAAATCTGCAATGTACTATGTCATTTATACTTTCCAGAGTACACAAATATATTTATTTTGGATAGAATGAGAAATAAGAGCAAAAAATTTTCTAAATGGCAGGTACCCATATACACACTAATCCCGAGTTTGTGGGATTTTTTGTGTGTAATGCTGGGGACTGAACGTAGAACCTTGGGACTCCTGGGTAAGTGTTTCACCACTGAGTTACAGCTATAGTCCTTATCTTTGTGCTTTGATTTTGAGACTTCTCCATATTTTTTTAATTGGGAGTGAAGTGAATAAACAGCTTACAGCACCTCACAGATTCATTTCACCACTGAGTTACAGCTGTAGTCCTTATCTTTGTGCTTTGATTTTGAGACTTCTCCATGTTTTTTAATTGGGAGTGAAGTGAATAAACAGCTTACAGCACCTCACAGATTCAGTTCCTGCATGTTATTGATGAGATGAGATGAGCAAGATGTGTTCGTAGATGCTGACATTTGCATGCCAATGTTTATTTATTTTCTACTCCTTTCCACTGTAGTTGAGCCTTTCACTTTTCATGGCATACGGAATGCAGTAGACCGACATCATAAACAGAGTGATTTTAATGTCACATAAAGGTCTATAGTTTAATTTAATTCTGTAGGCATCAAAGTATACTGGACTTGCAAATTCTCTCCTTTCCGTGCCTCCTCTTTCTCTTCTGTCTCTCTGTGGCTGCAGTTGTGCAATGGCAAATTTTACACACATCTCAGAATTTGTCCTGCTTGGATTCAGAGGGGGCCCTGGTATGCAAATGGTGCTATTTCTGATTTTTTTGTTCTTGTATGTTACAGCAGTGGTGGGGAACTTAGGCATGATTGTAATTATCAGGATGGATGCACACCTTCACACCCCAATGTATGCCTTCCTCCAAAGCCTTTCCTTTTTGGACATCTGCTATTCATCCACAATTGCACCCAGGGCTCTGATGAACTGCTTAAAAGAGGACCACACAGTGTCCTTTGGTGGGTGTGCTGCACAGTTCTTTTTCTTATCTCTTTTTGGTACCACAGAAGCATTCCTCCTGGCTGCCATGGCCTACGACCGATTCATTGCCATCTGTAATCCTCTTCTATACTCGGTGAGCATGTCTCACTGGATCTGTGGATTGTTAGTGTTAGGGTCCTACTCATGGGGTGCAGTGAATGCTGTCACTCAAACCACAATGACCTTCACTTTGTCCTTCTGTGGGTCCAATAAGATCAACGACTTTTTCTGTGATGTCCCCCCACTCTTGTCCCTCTCGTGTTCCGATACTTTTATAAACCAGGTCGTTCTTCTTGGCTTATGTGGTTCCATTATTGTCAGTACCTTCTTGACTGTTTTGGTCTCATACATCTATATCATCTCAACAATCCTGAAGATCCGCACAGCGCAAGGGCGCCAGAAAGCCTTTTCCACATGTGCCTCCCACCTGACTGGCGTGTGCTTGTTTTTTGGCACAGTTTTCTTCATGTATGCACAGCCCAGTGCTGTCTCCTCCATGGAGCAAAGCAAAGTTGTGTCTATCTTCTACACTGTTGTCATCCCCATGTTGAACCCCTTCATCTATAGCTTGAGGAATGAAGATGTCAAGCAAGCCCTGAAGAGGAGCAAGCAGAGGTTCTCTTCCTGATTTTGTGGCTGTGGGTTTCACAAACTAATTTGGACTTCACTCCAAATCACTGCTACTTATGTGGGTTATGCTGTAGCAACTGTTTCTTTGTGAAAGTCTGTTATCTTGGCTATAGAGTGTGTTTTAATTGTGTTTACATATTTAACAATGAATGAAATTAAGGTTTACATGGAGTAAAATGTAAATTCAAAGAATGGATAATTGAATTGATATGTGGTTAGTTTGCCTCATATATAGCAACCTGTTGAAACTTCATCAGAAATGACTATAAAATTGTATACTTTTAGAAAATCAGAAAACGCTTATCTTGAAGTTTATACAACTCACCAAGTACAAAAATATATCCTTCCTAAAGGTGAAGAAAAATAACATGCTTCAATATTCAATGTGAAATATTTAGCAATGTATAGATTAGCCAGGGATATTTTTCATATCAAAGTTAATGATATTGGGCAAATTTCATTGATAAATGTTTTAAACAAATGTTGTATATTCAATATACAATAAATTCATTCAATTAAAGTGTACAAATTATTTGTTAAAACATGTATACTTGTAAACCATCCCATAGTCAAGATAACAAACGTGCATCCTGCAAAAATTTTCCTTGAAACCCTTTCTAATGTTCTCCCACTTTCCCTATGAAACAACCCTTCACTCTGGACAATGTGTGATCTGCCTTTTGCTCTGTAGATAAGCTTGCCTTTCCTAGGGGTCACATAGTGGGGCATAGAACAGTTCTGGCTCATTCTTTTTTTTAAAAAAAAAAAGAGGTTTTTCAATTTTTTAAATTTTATTTTATTTATAATTTTATGTGTATGAGTGTATGCCTGCATGTATGTGAGTGCACCTGTGTCATCAGAAGAGGGCACCAGGTTCCCCTGGAACTGTAGTTAAGGACGGTTTGTAGCCACCATGTGGGTGCTGGGAATCGAACCCAGGTCCTCTGCAAGAGCAGTCAGCGCTCCCAACTGCTGAGCCACCTCTCCAGCCCCAAAATATTTTTTTTTGACAGGGGTTCCCTGTAGCTCCAGCTGTCCTGGAACTCACTATGTAGACCAGGTTGGCCTTGAAATCACAGAGATCTGCCTGCCTCTGCCTCTGCCTCTGGAGTGCTGAGATTAAAGGCTTGAGCCACCACACCCTGAGAGTTCTGGATCTTTCAATCAGCATAAGTATTTTGATGTATATCTAAGCATATCAATAGTATATTATAAACTATTCATCATTGGATAACATTTCATGATATGAATATGTTACATGAGGACACTAAAATTGCTTTGTTTACTCATTCATATGTTGGTAAATACTTGAGCTATTTTCAGTTTGAAGCTATTACAAATATAGTTGTTATGGGCATTTTCTTATGCACATATATGTATATGGGCATATTCTCTAATTTCTCCTAAGTAAATACCTGGAGAGTGGAATGGCAGAATAACACAGTGCATAGCTGACATTTTGAAAACTGTCAATCTTCCAGTCTCCAGTTGTTCACATTCTCAGTGTGTGAGTTTCAAATCCTCAGCATCTTCATTAACAACTAATTCACTCCCTCTTTAATGTAAACTATTTTAGAAAATCTGTAGTGGTATTTCATTTTTATTTAATTTGTTAAAGGCAAATGATTCCCCCAATCCTTTCATATGCTTGATTTCCATTTGCATATCTTGTTTTATGAAGTATTTGTTTAAATTTTATGTGCATCTCCCCCCAATGGGTAGCTATTATGTATTATTGAAATCTGAAGAACTTATGTATCTAAAATAGATGCTCATATGATATGTGAGGTTGTGGCTTATTGTTTCATTATTTTAACAATACCAGTACTTCTAAGAACATAAGTTTAAATTATGACTAAATTATTAATTTATGTATGATTGTTCTTTAACTGTCTCATTTAAAAGCCCTTTGCTGCAGACATAATGGTGCATGCCCACATCTTTAAAAGTCTTACAGTCTTTAAAAATTGCAACAAGTTAAAAGCCCATGTTCTCTTTAAATATCCAAAATCTCTTCACTGTGTGCTCCTGTAAAATCCAAAATAAGTTACATACTTTCTTGTTCAGAGAGGGAATAACAAGGGCACAGTTATAATCAAATAAAGAAAAAACAAAATCCAAAGGATTTATATCATGATTTAACTCAACATAGTGTATGCAACAAAGAGCACAGAAGATCCAAGTACCATAAATTGAGAGCTGTCCAAGCACAGCACAGACTTCTTAATTTTCTATCCCAAAGACAGTCACAGACTAGACAAGGGCATACAACTTAAAACATCTATTTAAGGAATGACCTGGTATAGATCTCAAGGTCCATGAAAACATTTGCGATTAAGTTGTGGATTATATTCATTAAGAGAAAGTGAGGTAGATAGAAAAATTAATGACAGATGGGTGGGTTTTCATATTTTACTGTAGTTTAGAGAATATTGAGAGGAAGGCCTCAGGGGGCAAATATAGGTTTTAATACAGTTGGATTTATCATAAAAAGTACCTAAAGTATTTTTAGAGTTCCTGCCACAAAAATGTCATTTTAAATAGAAAAGAAGGTATAGATTGGCTACTTTAAAAGACTAAAATAGCCCAAGACAATTTTGGCTTTGGACCTATAACATTGTTAGCTCTCCACACTCAACAGACAGTTTTTTTAATAGAAAACAATTATGTAAATTCTATCCATCTTTTTTGTGAACTTTTACAAAAACTTTAATGAGAATTTCATACATGTATATATGATGTTTTGATCAAATCCATGCCCACTCCCTCCCCTCCAACATTCCCCCCCTCTGAAGAGATAGCCCTAAAATCTTTTATTTTTTTATGTGTATATGTGTGTGTGTGTGTGTGTGTGTGTGTGTGTGTGTGTGTGTGTATATCTCTGTGTGAGTATATATCACATGAGTTCGGGTGTCCACAGAAGCCAGAAGAGGGCATCAGATCCCCTGGAGGTGAAGTTACAGGCAGTTGTGAGACCCCTGAAATGTATGCTAGGAAATGAACTCAGTCCTCTGAAGAGCAGCAAGACCACCAAGCCATCTCTCTAGGCCCAAATGCTTTTTCTTGGTGGCACATCAGATTTCTTAAAATGTAACCAGGTGTGTCAAGTCTCACATGCCTAGGAACTCATCTTAAATTTGATAAAGATGAGGCTGAGGAGTGAGGAAGGCAGGTCCTTAAGAGAGAGAAATGATTACCAGAGCCATTAAGGAGGAAGTTCCAGGATCACGTAAATCTATGAGTCGCTATGACCTGGTGTGGTTTTTTTTGTCTTCTGTATTTGAAATAACATTCTTTCTTCTTCTTCATCTTCGTCTTCTTCTTCGTCTTCTTTCACTTATTTACTTTTGTGGGGCTTTTGGCTACTCTAACATCCCCCCCCCATGAAGAGGTAACCCTAAAATCTTTAAAGGATCAGATACAAGCTCCAAAATACTTTTGACATTTTTGGCCTTTGGGAACAGAGTGTGTTGCTAAGAGGCCCAAGGACATTTTGACTTTTATCCAAGAAACTGGCTCCTTTTCTTTGGGGTCTTTTTACCCTAACTGCCTAGCCAATTCCTACCTCCTAGTCTTATCAGGCCATCCTCTGAAGGGATTACCCAAATTGCCAATGGGGAATAGGGACGCAGACTGCTCTGCCTTCTTCCATGCTGAACAGGGACACAGTACCCCTTCAGTGCGTCTGTCTAAAAGAGGCCAAAATCGCATAAC